AAGTTTTTTCTCCAGTGGATGTAACCTTGTGGTTCAGCAGGTCTGGTGACCTCCGTGTCTGCAGGATGCTGCAGCGTCTGTGTGGGTGGCAGGTCGTGTGTTTTACAGTTTTTCTTACAGGAGGAAACTTCTCACTCTGTAAGTGCTTCAATTTCAGCTGTTTTCGAGCATCCTGGGCTCCCAGCGGGGGAGCAGGGGTCATTTTTCCAATAAAAACCAAACAAAAGCATCTTGAGGTGCAGTCGTGAACGCTCTGAAACCGACCCGAGGTGCAGCTGCAGAACTTCACAGCTTTTCATACTTTAAATCCAACAAAACAACAAACTAATCAAACAACTGCTTCCAAAAACACGATCAGCTGAACAAACTGGAGGATTCAGAGCCTGCTGCTGCCTCTCTTCTCCGCTGTGGACCCTCTAGATGCAGTTTTGAGTCCAAACGCTCAGACGTGAGTGAAATTAGAGAGCAGCTCCGACCACAGAGATAATGAGGCCAAAGCATCACGTTAATTACACCTCATCCTGCGCACAGAAGACAATGAGGCCGAGCTCAGGCTCTGGAAGAGAAACCGTCTGAGCTGCTTCCAGTGAAACCTGACGAGATTTTACTGCAGTTTGAGCTAAAAATACAGAAAAAATCTCTCTGATGGTTTCCTTCTTGTTTATCGTCTTGTGTTTCAGGATTCTGCTTCATGAAGCCTCTCTGTGCTGCTTTCATGGACGCTCAGACGTCTGATATTCAAACTCGGGGGTCTGAAATCGTGCAGGACGTCTGGATTTTAAAGTTCATACCTTCTTCTTTCTGTCAAAGCTTCTACAACGTCTGCTGCTGCCGCCGCTCTGGTTTGGCTGCGACAGACGCTGAGCTATAATTGTGTGAAGCCAGAAAAATACAAAGTGAAGAAAAAATCTGCTGTGAAACCGCTGCTCCAAAACTACGTTTGTTCAAGTGAAAAACAAGGTGACTTTTAGAGCATTTAAAGACAGAATCCTGCCTCCAAAGTCAAGACAAACAGTCTGATCACAAGTTTGTTTCTGCTTTTTATGCATCACAGAACGCCTCTCTGTACTTTTCAACTATTAGTAGAATTCCAGCATTTCAGTGGTTAAAAAAACAAACATCTTAAAAGTAATAAAATGCAGGATTATGTACAACTATAACTGGATTTAAATAATTCATATTCAAATCGCTCAACTTCAGTAACTGGAAAAAACAATTAAAAAACTAATAAAAATGCATTCATTTGAAATTGAATTTATCAAAATGATTCTGAATTCTGTTGGTCTGAAACTGTACCGACACTGAAACGCTGCTTATTGACACCAGGCTTGTTATTCATCTTCAGTTTGTTGTACAGGTGTTCA